TAGGTTTTTAGAAAGTTAGCATTTGAGGCTAACTTTCAATTCTTGAAATGGTTTTCCCGAAAATATTTTTACTGGTAAAAAGATAAGGAGCTTTCTAGGACATAACAGAACTATGCTTAAGGAAGAGCCAGTATGTGTTTATATTATCACAGTGTTATCATAGGTTACCTTGTAAGACCTGGGATAAAAAAATGAATGGCTGAACCCTGACACATTCCCAGGGGTTCTTGTACAAATGGCTTTTCTGGAGAGTGTGTGGGTCTTAGTCTTTAGACTATTCAGAAGGGAAATAGCAAAATGGTGAGACAAAGGACAAAGGGTGAACCAATGCAACAGTGATACTCACAAGACACTATGTTGGAAGTGAATTTTATAACTTGGGGAGGGAGGGGAATCCTGGGGAGGGAAAGTGGGAGAAAACAAGGGAGGTGTTAACAGTTTTTGGCAAGAAATGTACTCATTACCTTCCTTACGTAACTGTAACCCCTCTACATCACCTTTACAATACAATTAAATTAAAAAAATAAAATAAAATCAGGAAAACCAAAGGTTGAAATAAGTAGTGGCTCCCACTCAAATGCAGAGTAGGAAACAGCAAGCTGGATGTAGACATAACAAACACCCATTTTTGTTCTTTATTGCTTCTAGGCTCAGAAACTATTTCTAGAATTCTTCTCCACAAAGAAGCTGATCCAGGGTTCCCTTTAGAAATAGTTATAGCCAAAGACAATGAATTCCTGCTGTTTCAAGCCTTCTTCCTTTGGAGGACATTAAGGTATTTCTTTAATTCCTCAGCTGATTCAATTCAAGATGAGATGAAATTTCAGGGTGATCCTGCAAGCACTGCTTCATTGAATTTCCCTTATAAAGCCCTACCTTGTGCGAGCATTTCCCTGTTTGTCCCACGTGAAGAGATTTTTTTTTTAACCTTTTCTCTCTTTTTAGAAGGAAGTCGCCTAATATGTCTCTGCCCAACTAATTAAAGAGGATAGGTTTTGGGTTTTGAGTTTTGGTTTTGGTTTGTTTTGTTTTCTCCAACTAACAGGTATCATATACTCTAAAAGTCAACTCAGCCTCTGTTCGACCAGAAGATGATGCTTTCAAAATGCAAAGCACTGGCATTTAGGCTAGAGAAAAGTATGGAATAAAAAACATTCCCAGTGAAACTTTTGAGACAAGTGCATGCACAGTTCACGTATTTTATTAACACTTCCTCAGTGCCCAACCGTATCGCAATATTGAGATTCCAGGTTTTTAAAATCTCTTCTTTTCTACCATTGAGAACTTTCTTGAATTAAAATCTATGTTTAAAATTTCACCATCTCTTAGCCATTACTTTTTCAGGACTATAAATGTGATATTGATTTCAAATACTTTCATTCTAGGAGGGTGTCAAATATGTCTCACTTTGGAATTCATTACTCAGAATAAGGAATTAAATTTCAGTTTTCTTATTGTACATCTTGCTCAAAAAAATTGCTCTGATGTTAGCAATAGGACCAGTTCTAAGGTTACATATAAATATATTGGAAGAAAGCAGACTCTCAGCTCTGTTTTATCATAACAGATTTTTGTAGATCATTTATACTTGTTTGTTTGGTCATAGCTACTCTAAGAACAGCCTTACACAGGTGCTGAGCAGTACAGTGTTGGGAGAATAACAAAAGGCAGTAAGTAGAAATGTAGAATATAGGATTTCAGGTAACATGTTTACGAGACAGCTAGTTGTTTGTGGATGTGTCTATTATGTACCAACACTTACTCCAATGACTAGAGAAGGATTAAAGCATCAAGAACTCAAGGCACACGTGTTATACCCCAAAGGCTAATTTGTGTGTATCTGAATAGGGAAAAGATAGAAACCTGTTTAAATAATAAAATGAGGTGCCAAATGTAAGATGCCTTTTAAAAATTAGACTACTTTCTATAGTAACTATATATCACAGAGAATGTTATGAGAGTCACCCTGGAATTGAATAGGTTCAGAATAAATGGACAGTTTTTACAAATGAATGATTTGTTGTGTTTTTCTGTGTTTTAGTGTTAACTATTGAGGGTGTCAGACTTTACGGTGTCCTTACTTTCCACTGTCTTTCATGTAATAAAGTCCACAAATGAATAGGAAGCATTTTCATTTTAGAGGCATAAAATGATGTTTTATCTCTTGCATGCTACCACATTAGTCTGAGGACTGAAGGGCATCCATTATTTTACCTAAGATATTTAACATGCACATTTTAAGACCAGCACATACCAGTAGTATTTCTACATATTTGATTTTTGTTTGGTCAGCTAAACAAAAGCTATCATGTTTCCTGTAGAAGACAAACATTTAATGTAGTTCCTGGCTATGTTAGGCATACATCTGTGACTGATTGGAGCCTTTTGGATAAAACATAGGATTTCTCAAGTCAGTATTTTTATGTTCTGATATTCAAACAACCCAGTCCATTTTTTTCACTTTCTTGCCTTAAATTCACAATCCTGATCCAATATTCATTCATCATAATAGATAACAAACACCACTATTGAGGGAAAACTATTATTTAGAAGTAGAAGATCATTTGGTATGGTTGGACAATACATTTTCCTAAACTCAGTGAAAGTAAAATTAAATACTTCCCTATAATGTTATGCATTTTTGTATTGATTTAATCTCCCCAAATATTTTTTAAAACATGCTTCTGAAGGCAAAAGTTTCTGTAAGCTTCCTATTTGAAACGTCAGTAAGAACACAATGTTCCAGTGTATAAATGGACAGAATACCTTTTCTCATAGGCTGAACACTGAAGCAGTGCCAGTGGAGTTGAAATACATCCCAAGGCCTTGGTCTCAGAACTCTAGAACATAGAACTCCTTCCACACTGGTTTGCTAAGAGCTGTATACATTTTCACTTTTTCTCTTATACTTGTGGTTAGAAGGATTTTTGGCAGAACATTGGACAATCTTGTGGCTGAGGGCTAGAAGAGAATCATTAGTTGGGATAGATAGTAAGAGTAGTGATAAAAGAAACCTATTCAACTTTGAAAACTGAATGTTTGCACTAAATTTTAAAAATATGTAAGAAAGAAGCAATACTGTATCTAATTCAGTATGTCCTAAAACTTTTCTTCAATATTTATAGTTATCTATCAAACTCATATCAGTCATTAAGGAAATTAGAAATTTTGTAGCAATGGGAAGTTTATGTAAAAATGTCAAGAAAGATGTTCTTTGAACTCTGCGATGTAATAAATGAGAAAACATGGTGACCATGTCATACATGTTTTTACTGGGTGCATATTGCTCAGAGCATCTTGTTATAAGTCATCCTTGTCTCCTATCTGGTATAAATGGAATCACTATTCCCTTTTAATAGGTAGATTAAAAATGTAGGACTCTTCCTTTGAGCAGGAGCAACTGAATAAAACACTTGTTTTGTTCTATGTTCCATGGTAACAGGAGATGAAACTTGAGAAGACAGTGTGGACTAATGGGTAGAGTGTTGGACAGGAGGTCAGGAACCTCTCTTCTATTCCCAGACAGATACTGGGCTGCTATGTAAACTTAGATAAACCAGTTGCCCTATCTGCACCTCCTAGGTTCCATCTGTGAATATGTAGGTAGAGATATTCAGTACTTGATTTTGTTACAAAGATACTGTGAGAAACAGCTCACTTTGAAGAAGTTCATAGTAATCTTTTGGTTGAAAAGATAACACACAAATATGTCAGTGTCCCTGTTTTCCTTTGGCAACTCTTTCCACAATTTGGCATCAGTGCACCACAGGCTAGGTACCATTAAATAGGTGTTGCATGACACAGAAACTGAGAATGGAGCTCTGGGTTGGAATCTTGGGTCCACCAGTCTCTACTACAGTAACTAAGAGCAAGTCGACATACTTGATTCTTTCCCTTTTAATGGGGATGATGATAGCACTTACTTGAGTAGAGTGATGTGAAACTTCAAGGCAATGATGAAGAATACTATAAACAACATATAAACACATAATATGCTTGGTGTGTGTGTATATGTGTGTGTTTGTGTGTGATTACTATTATTGTTCAGAACAAGTCTTTATTCTGCAAGAGTGGTGGGTAAGGTCAAATATACCCTCTGGTCTTTTTTTTTTATTTCCTTGCTCTCTTCCCAGCATGGCTCCTTAAATGCTTGTTTCTTATTCTTCCACTCCCATAAGCTTCTGGGCCCTGAAGATAAGCTCTTAGTCATATAATTCATCATAAGTGAGAAGACTGTCACATAAAAGGTAAAAGAAATCCAGGTGTTTTAAACTATTCTCAAAAACATTTCTGCCTATTAATTTGAAAATATACTCACAGATTTCAGAAATATTACGAAATAAGAGTAAGATGGTTGACAGTATACAACTATGTCCTGATCACTCAGAAAACATCAGGAAGAAATTTAAATGGAGTATTTTTTTTTCTACTGGTCATGGGGCCTGAACTCTGGGCCTGGGCACTGTCCCTCAGCTCTTCAGCTCAAGGCTAGCACTGTACCACTTGAGCCACAGTGCCACTTCAGGCTTTTTCTGCTTATGTGATGCTGAGGAATCAAACCCAGGGCCTCATGCATGCAAGGCATGCACTCTACCATTGGGCTACCTTCCCAGCCCCTAAATGGTATTTGTTAACCTTCTTTGTCTATTTTCTGTCTGGTGACCAACAGAAAGACATCATGAAGATATCATGAGTTGATCAAGTATGGAGTGGCCAGGACTGTAATTCAGTGGTTGAGAATTTGTCTAACACAGAACTGAAGCCCTGTATTCTTTCCCCAGTTCCAGAAGAAAAAAAGATGTGTGTTTTCTAAAATCTGAATAAAAAGAGTTCAGTTTCAGGAATTCATGACATCACAAGATTCTAAAAGTTTAGGATTTTATGAAAACTACTGATTCAATTTTTGTAACTTGCTATATGTAGTGTGAGATTTCAAAGCATGAATAGTATCTGAAGGTAATCATATGTTTCATTGATTTTTTCCCTCTTTTTATTATTAGAACCAACCTACATCACAATTGATCCACCTGCGTGCGGAGAGTTATCAAACTGCACACTGATGGAGAAGGACTGCATTTATGGCTTCAAGCTTGATCACAATGGTTGTCGAATTTGTCAGTGCAAAAACAGTGAGTAGAAAGAAGACTGGTTTGTTTTTTTTCCCCCTCCCCTCTCTGAGGCTTAATCAAATCTATCTTGTCAAAGCATATTATGTGACTGAATGTCTTTTTCACTCCTGTTCAGATATTCCCTTCACAATGTGAACATATCATACTTAATGCAAACAAATATGTAGTCATTTGTGAGGGAAAGAGCTGCCCCCTTTTTTTTTTCTGGTTTTCATCTTTGTTGCATTGTGTGTCTGTGGTCCTTGACTTCCAGGGGCTTCAGGAGTAGAGATATGAGTAGCTTGAGAGTGCATCCCCTGACCACACAACTGGCTCTCTAGAGCACTGTTTCTGGGTTATCCAGTGGCCTACTCCTTCAGCTCCCCTTCCACATACGGTAGCCGGAATCCTTAAAATAAGCTTCACTTTATTGGCCCCAGCTCTGCCTACAAGTAGATTCCAGCCATGTCTCCAGGCCATGACCTCTGAAACTAGATTAAATATTTTACATTTCTACTGGGGGAGCAATGTGTCCTACATGTTTGAAACTATCTCTGAATTCTCCCAATTTTTCTGTCAGAACAAATACCTAATGTCCCCCCCACCATTTCTCAAATGACATCATCTCTAGAATTTACAGTGTTCTTTTCAACCTTCTGACACACAGTGTATCCTTGGGACTTATACAGAATGACCTCAGGTCTGATCATGGAGAATGAGAATGGCATTTTGTAGAGCTTTAGCTTTTTGTTTTATACCATGTTTGGTAAAACTGAGTTTATAAGCCCCTAGTTTTTTCTTAGCATCTGTCAGATGATTCTCATTTGTTTTAGTATATAAATATTAGAATTTTTTAAATCATACTAGAGTCAGGGCAAACTTAACAAGAAATTATGGTAATTGTTTTAAGCCACTTTCCAACTAGTTAGAATATTTTTTGTTCTTGATAATAGGATTTTATTCCTTATGCCTCCTGATTTATAATAAACAATTACTACTTCTATGTCCTCATCTAAAGTGAATTAAAATTCATCGTACAGAAACAAGGGCAGATCCCTGTAATGCTGGTCACTGTTCTGACCTTGAAAAAAATCTTCCTAGCTATTCTAGAGATAGTAATCAGGAGGATCACTGTTTACAGACAGCCTGGGTAAAAATTTAACAATGCCTTATCTCGACCAATAAAAGCTGAAGTATGGTTGTGTATGCCTGTCATTCCAGCTACCCAAAAAGTATAAAATGGAAGATTTTGGTCTAATCTCTTGGGCATAAATGCATGATCCTATTTGAAAAATAACTGAAGCAAAAGAATCTCAAGGGCTGGGAATGTGGCTTAGTGGTAGAGGCTTGCCTAGCATGTATTAAGCCATGGGTTCAATTCCTCAATACCATATAAACAGAAAAAAAATGGAAATGGCACTGTAGCTCAAGTGGTAGAATTCTAACCTTGAGGAAAAGAAGCTCAGAGACAGTGTCCAAGCTCTGAGTTCAAGTCCCAGGACTGGCAAAAAAAGAATCTTAAGATATGGCTCAAGTAGGTAGAACATCTGCCTAGCAAGCACAAAACTCTGAGTTCAAACAAAGAAGATAGAAAACAAGAGTTGAAGATGCCAGTGGCTCACGCCTGTAATCCTAACTATTCAGGAGTCTGAGATGTTAGGATCGAAGTTCAAGGCCAACTCAGGCAGAAAAGTCTGTGAGGGTCTTATGTCCAATAAGCCACTCAGAAAAAGCTGGATGTAGCACTGTGGCTCAAGTGATAGAGTGCTAGTATTGAGCACAAAAAGGCTCAAAGATAGTGCCTAGACCCTAAGCTCTAGGACAGACAAAAATTAAAAAGAGAGAGAAAGAGAAAATAGTTGAGTAGTTCTGTCTTCTCAGTTACATATCACCATCATGCTCTCTGCACAGTAGAGTTAGTGCCACAGGAGAGTTTACTACAATGTAGTTAAGCTTGTAGCTATTGCCATCTTTAAATTTCCAGCAAGTTTCCACACACGTAGGACAGCCCTGCCTTCCTGAACTTGATTCTATACAGTCTCTGTTTGGCATCTGTCTACCTCTTGGAAAGCCAAGTTTTCTGTGAATTTTTGGCAGCCACATTTGTTTACATAAGTTGCCAGCCTTGCCTTTTTAACGCCAAGATCATTGGTAGTATGTCATTGTGTTTATATTTCAATCCTTCCAATACCTCCTGAGCAATACATTGCTTCTTAATATGGGATCATACCGACATTTTTCCTGAGCTTCCAAAAAGTATAAGATACGGATTGTATTGTATCCAGTCACTTCAACCACCTCCTTCAGCTGGGCTTTGCTATCACAGAATTTTAGTCATTTGGTCATACTGGCATAAGACTTCTGCCACTTCATGAGGCACTTTCAACCATTAAATCTGAAGAAGCAGTTTTCCTCATTTGCCACTGAAGCAAATCAAAAGATACACTGGCCTTTTGCAAAGTGAGACTGTTAGGAAGACTTGTTTTGTTTTTGTTTCCTTATTGTGGTTTTGGTTTTTTGTGCTGGTCCTTGGCATCTAATTAGGGCCCTGTCCTTGAGCTTCTTTGACTAGCATTCTACCACTTGAACCTCAGCTCCACTTCTAGTTCTCTGGTTGTTAATTGGAGATAGAATCTCATGGACATTTCCTGCCTGGGCTGACTTCAAAGCAAGATCTTCAGATCTCAGCCTCCTGAATAGCTAGGATTATAGATGTAAGCCAGCCACACCCACCCAATGCCTTGTTCTTGAGTTACTATTGCATTCTTACTCTTTAAATGGAATTTCTTTATGTACTGCCTTCAGAAAACCTTGTCAATCTCATATTTAGGAAAAAATAGAGAACATTGGATTTTGTCAGTGTTTTTTTCTGCATATAGATCTTTTTTAGTCATTCATTCTTTGCAGTTTTTAACCCATTTGTAGAAATAGATAACTTCTCCCTATTCTCTAACTCCCTTTATTCTTTCACCACTTGTGTGTTCTGGAGACCATATAGGAGTCTGAGCTAGAGAGCTGACTAAAATGCAAGACCTACTCTAAGAAAAAAAAATCTGATAGCTGAAACCTAAATGAAATGTCTCATTTTAAACCTAGTGCTGTAACTTACAAAGTTAAGTCCTGCTAAGGGGAAGCGTCAGTCTTTCAAGGGAGCTTGGGATTTTGTTCACAACCACGTAGGGAAGTCACTGTCTTTCTCCAGAGCACTCGTATGCATCTGCAGACAGTGCAGAGAGGAGCATGGACCCTGCAGGGTAGGTGATGCCTTTAGACTCAATGCTCTTCTGCATCCTCTCCTCCCATGACGTCTCATCATTTCATTCCTCACGATCCTGAAATGTTTGACATGGGCTGGTCTTGCCATCTCACTTGCTGCCACCCTGTACCTAACACTGTAAGAATCAGTTAGAATTGGTCTGTTTGTCTGTATCATACAGAAGTCTAGGTGTTTCACCCAGTCCAATTGTGTGATGTGTGAAAGCAGATCTTTGAGAAACGAGTCAGATCCAGCCAGGTTACTAGGTCCTCAGATTCTTGGGATCACACACTGTTCTCTCAGACTCTTGGCATTAGTCTACCCTAATCCTAGGATTAGATCAAGCTGCTTTGTTTCTCTGGGTCTTCCTGTCCTCATCTGTAGAAGACAGATAATAGAACCTAAGTAATGGTTTTTCTGAGGATTGAATGGATGGATGCAGCTAGCTTCACTGTCTAACATGTGGTAACGGTGTATTCTGCATGCCAGCTGTTTCATCACGTTCTTTCCTGAGTAAGCCCACGCTAGCTGAGGAGAAAAGCCCCCCACCTCCTGACTCTTTTTGCTGTACCATCCTGTCCCCAGCTCTTCCTGTCAACACCAACTTGCTTTTTGCTTTTTCATTTTAACACTCAAATTGTTGAGTGCTACTAAAAACTAAACACTATAGAAATACAAGAAGATAAAAATGCCTTTACCATTTTCTAATGTTGGTAATAGTTTAATATGGCATAATGGTACTGTCTTTTCTCCTTAGTGAAAAACAAAACTCCTCATAGTCAAGTGGGCCACAAGAAATTCTTTGTCCCATTGCAGTAGCTTGATAACTTGTCCAGAATTCTCCATTCCATCAATACCTTTTATTTAATGCAGCCATCCTAACCATTCCTATCTGTTTTCTCTTTAAGAATTAGACTTAATTCCCAATGCCATCAAGATTTCTTAAAGTCAACATCAAATAGTTCTTACTGGTTTTTGTTTACTCATTCTTTGGCACATCTAGGGTTTGTAATGTGCCTACTATAGGCTGTTAGAGATACCAAGAAGATAAAAATACCTCTACCATTGACTAATATTATTAAAGGTTAATATGGAATAATGATATTGTCTGCTATATCATAGACAACCACACTAAAATTAAAAGCCCTACAGAGACTTGTCCTTCAAATGTATGTAGAAATCAGAAATAGGTCAATGTGTTAGTTTTCCATTGCTGTGACAAAATGTTTAAAGTAAACAACATATAAGGAGGAAAGGGTTATTTTGGTTCACCATTTCAGACCATTGATTGGTGCTTGACCCGGTTACTCTGAGCATGTGGCTAGGTAGTACATTGTGGTAAGAATGCATGGCTAGAGGAGTTACTTACCTCAGAGTGTCCTGAGACAAAAGAGAGAGAGCAGGGGGAGGCGGGGGCTATGTCCCTTTCAAGAGCATATCCCCCAATCTCTTAGCTTCTTTCTACTGGGCTTCACCTCCTAAAGGTTCCACTACTTCCCAGTAGCACTGCAGGCTGGTGACCAAGACTATCCCGGGGCACAGCTTGACATAAATTTAGCTTTTATTATATTATTTAGACTTGAATGATGATGCAGCAGTTCTTTTTGGGGGGGGAGCGGGTGAGTACTAGATTTGAACTCAGAGCCATATGCTTGCTAGATAGGCACTATACTGCTAAGCCATACCTCCTGTCCTCACCCACCCCTACACACACACACACACACACACACACACACACAGACACACACACACACACACACACACACACACACACACCATACACACACTGGTTATTTTTCAGAAAGGGTCTTTGTTGCCCTGAGGGCTTCAGTCTACCTAGTTTAAGCTTCCCAGTCAGCTAGATGGCAAGCATATGCTACCACATCCAGTTCCTTCTGTGGAGATAGATTCTTCTGCCTAATGGACTTTTCAGTCCTTGCTCAAATGGTGATCCTCCCAATCTCAACCTCAAATTGCAGTCTTCACTTTCTTAGCCTCCTAAGTAGCTTAAGATAGGATTACAGTCATAAACCACTGGTACTCACTCACTGTGGTAGCTATTGTGGTTTTTGTTGATGTTGTTGTTGTTTAAAGATGAGTAAAGAGCATTCTAGATTGAGGTCTGTGGAAAGGGTTGCTTTTATAGAACCAGAAAAATAAAGGCACAAAAGTACTCAGAATCCAAAGTTTCAAGGAATGTAACCCCCAAGAATGCTGACTCCAGGAAGATCTACAAATGGTTTTAATTCATCTTTCTCAACATAGTCTACTTGGTGTTGCGACTTAAAATTTCTCTTGATAGAAAAAAATTGTTTCACAGCCTATAACTGTGTTAGAGAGAGAAATGTGGCTATGAAAATCTTCTCCCTTGTCCATCATTCCTTAATGATGAAAATTGAAATGTAATGCCCTTCCTTCCAACTCATAATTATAAATTTTAAATAAGCCACTTAGAATCTCTCTGTTGAGGATGCATATTAATATTCAGTTGCTTCTCGGGGTAATACAGTCCCACGAGGGCATATTTAGTAAGTATAATGAAAGGTTTATGATCATGACAAAGTGAAAAAATATGCTGCAAGTCACATTTTTATTTTTAAATGATAGCAAATTAAATATGCAAGTATTGCCAGCTAACATTCATGGAAGATGCTGCCTTAAAATATTTATGTAAAACATGAATCTATTTAACCTATTAATTGTAGTTAAGGTTTGCTGTCAGGTAACAAGATTTGTCAATGAAAGGGACAAATGTATTCTGATTTCTTTAATGGCATATAATAATGACTTAAATGATATTACAATATTTAAGGTTAAAGGATGTCCAAGTAAAATAAAAATTCCTTTGTCCACCCAACAGTAATAATCCCTACTTCCCCTCTTATTCAGTCCCTGCACAGCACCATTTAAGCATTGGCTACATTTTGCTGTTGCTCTATCAGCTTTCTTAAATTGATTTTCTTTAAATTGGCTGTTCTTTCCAATTCAGCATTTAGTTCAGATTGGTCCCAATTCACTTTATTTATATCATTAAGCATGCTTTTCCTTACCCTAACATTCTTATTCCCTGTATTTTTATGTAAGCTCTGTATCACCTTTTAGAATCATTTCATGAAACTTTTTTCTGTTGAGCTAATGACCTCAATAGTTTCTTTTGATAGTTACTATTGCTTCCTTCCTTCTTCTTCTAAAATAATGTAAAAACTGACTAGCAGAGGATAGCTAAGCATCTGCTACAGGGCATGATATAAATATTTCAGATAGTAGTTAGGAACCCATTAGTAATAGCACTTTTTCTCCAAAATGTACCTTGTCAATTAACTAAGCATCCAGACACCTAGATATCTGTTAGCAAATAGGAGAAAAGATAGCCAAATGATCAGTGAGTATTTTGATATCATGTTGCAGAAGATGTATTTTATTAAGAGAGAAGGTTAGAAATCCCTTGTGCTACATAGATTATGCGATGTTATATCATACCATCTAACACCTACAAGAATAAATTTTATGTGAGCATTTTAGCACATCATTATCTGTGATGACATGCATTAGAAATAAGATATATACAAGAGTTTGGAGTTTTAAAGTTTGTAATTTCCACATTTTAACATAAATGGCCATCAGTGGTTTGAGGTGACTAAAGGATTCGTGGTAATACTGAACTTAGTCTAATTATTAATAATTTCACTCATGGCCTACCAGATCTGATGGGGCTTCAGAAATACCTTTCTCAGAGTTGAATATTTTGTGTATTAGTACCAAAACATAGAGCCATGTCACGATAACCATGAAGGAACACAGTCTCTACTTGTTAACCCTGCCTTTTGCTATGACAGAACTAAGAATTAAAATCTATGGGAGACTGGGAGGTTGAAGAAAGGTATGAAGTAACAATATGCTCTGGTCTGTTTGCCTTTGGAAAAAACCCACCGTCCATATGTCTTCACAGGGGAGGAGCTATGCTCGGGCCTCAAGCGAGGCTGCACCTTGGACTGTCCCTTCGGTTTCCTAACTGATGCCCACAACTGTGAGCTCTGTCAATGCCGCCCACGACCCAGGAAGTGCAGACCCATAATCTGTGACAAGTATTGTCCACTTGGATATCTGTATGTATTTCCTCATTCAGAGAACCTGTGACTGATTACATGTAACTTGTTGAAATGTTCACATCCTTTTTGTTGGCTGTTGGTGTGTTTGTGAATGAGCCAGTGACGTTTTTAGTATAGAGTACCTATCCTGGTTTTTCTTAGGTAATGCAGAGAACAGGGAAAAAAAGATTGTGTCTCCAAAAATGGGAATCAAGTTTATTCTTAAACGCTTGGAATTTCCTTGGAGATGAGGCTCATGATGGAATTTTTAAATATTCCTGTGGTCATACCCCATAAGAGTCAAGATTATTCCATGGAGGAAATAGACATTTCACACTCATTGCTTTCTGTTTTTATAGCAAGTTGACCCCTGAAGGGGAAAAACACCTTTCAGAATCTTTCAGAATCTTTCATCATTCTTCCCTTTGTTCTCTTCCATTTCAGTCTCTGTTTTCCTAATTTGATATATTTGTATCAAATTATAAGATCCATTATCTTCTGACTATCTTCTTTCAGTTATTGTTTTAACTCTTGCTTTTGAAAAACTTACATTGAGGGGTAGATTTTATTTATGCGGATTAAATTGGGAATGTTATTCTTCAAAACTGGTTATCACCAGTCTGGGAAGGTGGCTCAGTGGTAGAGCTCTTGCCTTGCATGCATGAGGCCCTGGGTTCAATTCCTCAGTACCACATAAGCAGAAAAGTCTGGAAGTGGCACTGTGGCTCAAGTGGTAGAGTGCTAGCCTTGAGCTGAAGAGCTGAGGGACAGTGCCCAGGCCCAGAGTTCAGGCCCCACAACCAGCAAAAAAAAAAAAAAAAGATTATCACCATTTTTAATCCTTAATTGTGAGGAAGATACCAATAAATACATGGTTATTTCATCATTTATATGCTAATATAAAATATCATCATAGTATCTACTATATGCTACAGTATTTGACAGTTCAGAATCAAGGCCATATTTAATTCCAACCTTGGAGAATTATGGGTTTCACGTTGTTTACCTGATGGTAAGCACATTTAGGGTGAAGCCAGTTGATCACTATTGTACAACGAGTGTTGTACTAGCTGAAAACTGTTTCACTGACAGCTTCTAAAAAAATGAAGGATGAAGATGTCTACAGGTATGCTAGTGAATCCTTACTGTATGCTTGCTCACAATAGGGATAGATGCATGCATGCATGTGTAGATGCGTAGATCAATGAATAGCAAATCAGTCAAAGCCTTGGCAGAATTTGAAAGTGATGTGATATGACTTGAATAAGACTAGCTCATTTAATTTGTTCTCATTATGTTGGAGTAAATAAACAGCCCTTAAATTTGGTCCTTCTTTCACTTAGCAAAAGGTAATTTGTTACCTGGACAATTGTCACATGTCAGAGGTATCCCAGAAGGCCATCATCTTTTAAAGCCTCTCATTTAAGAAAGAAATGGAAATGTGTTTCACTTGGCCTCTATATTTGGCATTTGGTGTTACGTATGATGAAACATGAACATATATAGAGCAATTCTTCTTACTCTGTGACTCAGAACAAGTTAGAGATAAGCTTTCAAGGGAGACACTGGGTCTGAGAACCCTGAGCCCTGTGCTGTGTACAGGAGGAAATGTAGTGTGTGGGCTCCTTCAGTATCAGCCTTTGTAGAGAAAAGAATTCTTGGTAAGAACTTTTTGTCCAGGTAATCTCCACTTAAACTACTGTGACTTTTAAATAAAAAACATATCTGTTTGTTTGATACTCATCAACACAGAATTTGGGCATTGTAGCTTACTAAAGGGAAAAACTTTCTCCTATACCTCATGGACAGAGGAATTAAAAACTGATATTCTTGATGAATATTGGACCTAATGAAGTCAATACTGGACATTGATTGAGCGTAAGATTGTTATTCCTTGTCAGCATTATGGAGTCTTTTAGGTCTGTGGATCTTTACATTCTCCTGTCTAATATAAGTTCAGGAGATAGTTCATTAAAATTTTTACTTTTGTCTGGACTCTCAGAGAATGTGAGGAAACCTGCAGCCTCAATGAAAGGACTTTGGTCCCTAATGCTAATTTCCAGCCTTGACCAGTGATAGGTCCTTCCCCTTCCTGTTTGTGGAGTTGTGTATTCATCTTTTCTGTTGTGGTACCACTTTTCCTAATTAAATCAATGATCATGCCATTGTAATTCTGACAGCCAAATCCCAGAAGCACAAAAGTGCTTTGGCAATTCTAAACCTTAGTCACGGATGGTCAGTGGTCATCAGCACAGAGAGCTAATTATACAGCCCCCCAGTGGTTTTGATAGAAGTCAAGTCATTCTGCTTAAATGGTGATATCATTTTGTTGACCCTTGATCTGGGTTCTTGGGCATCAGTTGAGACTTTTTGATTTTCTGACCTCTGGCAAAATTTTAATTACCCAGGAAGAATAAACATGGCTGTGACATCTGTCGTTGTAAGAAATGTCCAGAACTCCCCTGTGGTAAAAGCTGCCCCTTGGGCTTTCAGCAAGACAGTCATGGCTGTCTTATCTGCAAGTGCAGAGGTAAGTATGAGCATGTGGCCCTTCCCCTCACACAGCCTGGGGGAAACAAAGAACAGAGGGATATCCTGCCAATGACACAGTTTAAGTAATTGCTGCCATTCTGACACAACTGTCACCTTATATATGGCCCTCCCAAGGGACTCCCGTTTCCTTTCATCTTAATGGAATTACAGGGCTCAGCACAGAATTTAAAGCAAGCATAGGATGGATAAGCACACTGACCAAATTAATTAATCACTTCTAAGCTCTTCACTTTTACTTGTCTCAGGAATTTCAGCCTAAAGCTAAAGTTTATCTCAGCCTCCTTAAACTAGAGGCCACTCTTTCCTGGAGCAGGATTGATATAAATGATAAGGTAGACTTCATTTTGGTGCCTATAAGAGTCTGCTCTGGGAAAAGAGTTTTCCCTGAATATGTAGAAACTGAAAAGCACATGACCATTCTGGATCGGACTGTGAGCCAAAATCCTGGGAATCCCAACTGCCTGAGACTTCCTGATCTGGTTATAGTCTTAAAACCATTGTGAATATTCCACATGGGTCTTTGCCTCATTCCCACCTCCCATTCCCGTTTATAGATGTCAACAGGATACACAGACTAATCAGCAATAAAAAGTCCCTAAAGTATGTTCAGTGTCTTTTCAGAGTTGGATAATAACCAATTTAGTGGTGGTTTTGAAGGGATCAGAATAAACAAAAAGCTAGTCAGTTGCTTTGGCATATCTATTAGTTGTAAGGGGCCCAGGAGTTCCCCATCAGATGAAGCTTCTTACAGTAACGTTTCTCAGTATACAAATGTGTAGTAAAGCCAGTGCTTGTCTTGACTAAAATACAACCAGTGAAAAAAAGTAAAAATTAACAGGTCTTAAGGAGAGTGAAAGAGAAACATATTTATAGGCTTTTTTCTTTCATCTTTTTTTCTTTTCGAAATGAAGAGCCTATTGACTTAAATTCTTTCCCTGAGCATTTCTGACGTGACTGACTGTCCTTTGTAAACATAATTTTGGTGGCTATGTTACATTCCATGTAAGGACACTACAGGCTGTTTCTCCTGTGCCGTAGCTGCTTCTTTACCAGGCTGCCTTCTGTCTGTCCAGAGGTCCTTGCTTCAGCCGGACCACCCGTCCTGTCAGGCACATGTCTGTCAATGGATGGCCATCATCATAAAAATGAGGAAAGCTGGCATGATGGGTGCCGGGAGTGCTACTGTCACAATGGACGGGAAATGTGTGCCCTGATCACCTGCCCAGTGCCTGCCTGTGGCAACCCCACCATTCATCCTGGACAGTGCTGCCCGTCATGTGCAGGTAAAAGCTGAATTTGGCTGTCCCCGGTGGGCTCCAAAAGCAAAAGGCTTTGCTGCCTTGAGTGGCCTCATATACACCTGTTACTCTGGGGGACATGCAGGGTTAACCCCGGAGACACTTTTTTAGCTTTCCATGGCTTCTGTGAACAGCCTCGGAATCAGCCAGGTACTATAAATGATTAGCCAAAGATTATAGTAAATTCTTAATCTCTAGAATTGTTTGCCTGATTTTGAGTTGTTTCAGCGGTTATATTGATCTTTGAATTCCTTTTTTGTTGAGGTTTGTGGCTTATATACGTAAGTCCAAGTCTCCATTTTACTGATAATGTATTAAAACTTGAATACTTTAATTTGAGGTAATGGGTGCTAGCATTATTTCATAAAAGCTTATCACTTATAAAGAAATACTTAAGAAGAAGAGAATTTTTCAAGTCTGTGGATGTTGCTTTTTTTAAAAAAATTGTATTATCTTTAAGTAGTTGTACAAATCATTTATGAATACAATGTGTCCAGATTAGGGTCACCCTTTTCAACATTCTCACCCATTCATCTCTCCCACCCCGTTTCTTGCTTTTCTTAATTTTGTAAGATTTTTTTATACGTTGAATTGCTGACTGCATTGTTTTTAGTAAATGAGCATGTGACACTTGCCAAATGCAACAGAACATTTAAATCCAGAACATTTAAAATTATAGGAGCAGTAATTAAGTTATATGAGGAACAGATTTTTAATTCATGGGGTTATGAATTACAGTTGTCAATAATTATAATACTTCATTTAGTACTTTTTATCTCAGGAGCTCAAGACAGTTCTATTTCTTCTATTCTCTCTGCAGGCCACTTTAAGATACAAAAGAATATATGTAGACAATGTTTTATTTGGAAATCACATAGAAATATTAGTTCTTGTACCCAGAGTAACATAGCCAGAATGCCAGGAAGAAGCAAAGTGTCCGTATTCTTACATCAGATTTCTTCTGATGTTTCAGTTCATGGTCACTTTTTTCCTGGTGCATTATGGCCTGTACCTTCTTGTGGACTACTCGTCAGGAGTCTGAAGCCTGATCCTTTTGAAGAAAGACAGAACTAAGCCTAAAAGGGATGGTGGCTCCTGCATTGCCTCCCCTGGAGGCAACAGGAAAAAGAGACATATGAAGTCCCTTTTAGCTCTGAGCTTCTGCACACATTAGTAACTGCACCATCAAACTGAAAGGCAGCTTCCATATCCCCCTAGATATGGGACAGATTACTAGAAAAACAAGCCAAGAATAAATGGCTGTTTTGTTTCCCCAAAGTTCAGTTCGGTATGCTCTGTATTGCAGCTCTCCTTTTTTCCGTATTTTTCAACTTTAACATGAAAAACGACTTTGTCCAGTGGATCAGATGGTAAATGAGCAGCTGAATGATACAGAACTCTATAAAGACCTCTTTGAGAACAGAAATAGCATTTGTTCCCAAAGGATCCATGCTTTAATGATTTCAGGTGGGCCTGTTTAACGTGGGGACCTACACCTGACTATGTTTACATGTGTGCATTGAGTCTGGGTAGTTAGATGGGTAGAAATGAAGACTCCTCTCAGAACAAATGATTGGCCAAAGAACTAAAAGTCAGTGAGACCAGAAGGATCTTTCCTACAAAGATATGGGAAGTTACTATATACATTTTAATTACATTTTATTGTTATCTTCTGGATATACATGTGCAAAAACATAGATCTGTCAGAGATTTACTCCTATAGTCTTTTTTTAAAAAATAAGGTTTTTATTGTGAAAATACTATATAGAGGGGTTACAATCACATGAGCAAGGTAATGAGTACATTTCTTATCAAGCATTGTTGCCTCCTAATTTGTTTTTTCCCTACCATCCTCTCCCTCCCATCTCCACAACTACACTCCCCTCCCTCACCCCTACCCCCCACCCCCACCCCCTGCCTAAATTGTAAGGTTCATTTTTCAACATAGCATCTTGTACATCTCATTGTTGCAATGGGTCAACCTGTATCCCTATGTAAACAACCTCTCTATCTACTTGTCTATCTACACCTGTAGTCTTTAGTGGACTGCCACATGTGGTTTCTGATGAAGTCCCATTGTACTCATGAACCCCTACTGTAAGGAATATTTTCTCCCCTCTCCTATTCTGGATCAGCCAACAGGTTTTTGTTTTTTTCTGAAATGAATGAGAAGCTACCATGAAAGTGGTTTTTTAATTTTGTTTTACCCCTTCTTTCTTACCCTCTTCCTTTTTCTTTCTTTCCTGTCTCTCAGCCCCTTACTCTTTTGCCTTAGACACATAATAACAAAGAGATTGTGGATATGGGACTCTCCAGGCCACCCCTCAGCACACCAGCATTTAAACAGGTGGCAATGTTCAGTCCTCTGTAAACCCTTTCTAAATGCATTAGGGGCAGCCTTTCTCCAACATTAGTTTATTGATGCTTTCTGGGACAAATTTTCTCTTTCCCTACAAATGACAATAAACACAATTTTATCATCTTGCCTACCTTTATTTCTGTTGAATTACTTTTCGGTCTGCTGTTCATATATTATAAAGTTTGGCATGGTTGCTTGTGAAATGTAAGTGCTAACTTAGAGCAGTTTTCTTGGGATACATCCACTTGGGTAAAGTTCTAGGCCTTACTAGTGCTCTGAAAATCATTCCTTTAACTGGAAAGCAGCCTACAGCACTTTATCCCATCAGTATCATTGACCCAATTGCTTTGAAAGTAACCCCAGCACACTCCTAGATGATTTCAGCTCTGAGTATCTCTGCACAGATGGGGTAGTTCTCCTGGGGCCCTGGCCTGAGCCAGCAGTGATGTCTCCAGACTATTTCTCAGCAGGATTCAGCACTGTCAACACTTCCTTGAACTGCTTGTTATATTTGGACTGCAGGAATAATGTTAATGTCTTCATACTTCTCATTTCCTCAGCACAACTTCAGGGCAACTCCCAGTACCTCTACAGACATTTCAACATTAAATTCTCTCTCTATCATTATCATCTCACCAAGGGACCAAAACCACCTCTCCTCTGGGGGAAGAAATCATAGTTATCATCAGCCTCTCGGCATTTCCCTCTCTGGATGATGATATCGCCCAACAAATGTTTAGTCTCAGGTGAGGGTTTTCAGACTGTTGATACCAGGGGAGCATTCCCACTCTGTGTGCTGGCAGCCTGCTGAGATGAGGTGTGGCCTGTTGACAGTAGACCCTACTTCCCAGTGTAAAAGTGCCAAGGAGCCCAGAGATAATGGAGTGGATAGGGAATACATCAGGGGGAAGTTTTGTTTCATCTAGGGACATCCATTATTCAAACAACCATAGGTGTGAGTTCTAGGCCCCTGACCATGCTAAATACTCTGAGCTCTAAGTTTCCTCCTCTGTACGGTATGATAATGGAACCCACCTCATAAGGTTGCTGTTACAAAGAAATGTCGTGAATAATGGAAATAATTGGGCCATAGCAAATATTAAGTAAATGAAAGATCTTTATACTAGACAACTCCTGCACATTCTCAGGAAGGCTCGAGTGGGGTCTCCTTCCTGTAATATAATTCTCATTGAATTCTCTCATGACTACTGTTAGGCTTGAGCCACTTGAACCTTACTTCCTGAGATCAGCTCTTCTGCCTTTTTTTTTTCTATTTCTATGCATGGAATATTTTTCTTCTCTTCACGACTTGTTCTCTTGATAAGGATAGGGTGAGAGAACTCTTCAGACAATTCTACTTTTCTTTCCCTTCAAACAAAACATCACCAGTTTCTTCAGGAGTTAGAAAGACTGAAAATGAATAATTTCTTGTGTTTTGATCTTGTTTCATTCCCCAGATGATTTTGTGGTGCAGAAACCAGAGCTTAGCACTCCTTCCATTTGCCATGCACCTGGAGGGGAGTACTTTGTAGAAGGAGAGACATGGAATATTGACTCCTGCACCCAGTGTACCTGCCACAGCAGCCGAGTGCTGTGTGAGACCGAAGTGTGCCCACCATTGCTATGCCAAAACCCCTCTCGCACTCAGGACTCCTGCTGCCCACAGTGTCCAGGTAACCAGCATGGTATATGGGACAATACTTGTTAGGGAAGGAGCTCTGGGCATTGTCATTCTGACCAGCAGGTCAGGGTAAGCTTCGTATGGGAGCGTGCCAAACCTTGAAACCTGCACAGAAATGTCTGCCAGCCTGCTTCCTAAATTCCTTCCTTTCTATTGACCACATATTTACGCCATCAATATTCCTGGCACCTGAGGTGACTTTGAAAAGCAAGAGATACTTTGTTTTTCCTGCCATTTGCCCTTTAATCCTACCTCTCAGACTCAAGTGGGGGGTGGGTGGAGGAAATATATATATATATATATACATACATATATATATATATATGCACCTTAGTAGACATAGTCCCTGTGTACCAAATTGTTCCAGGTGACTTTGCTGATGCAAAAAGTCATCTTTATCTCCAACAGATGTGGAGAATAGTTAACACAAACATAATTCTTTGGAAAATAAAGGTGGTGATGATATTTTGAAATAGTCCCATTGTCCCCTCCCTCAGACCTCAGGTGATTAATAAGATCTACAAGCATTATGTGATAAGCACTCCCCACATATGTCTCTGACTGTAACAGATAAATAGGTGGTCATGTAAGAAGTAGTTTTAATGAAAATTTGTCAAGATTTTAAACATGAGTTACTGAGTCTACAAAACAGTAATTCTAGTAAACTGTAAGAATATGTGGCTTTTTACAACGACACTTAATTTGATATGCAAAATGACCAACTTGGTAGAACAACTGGCTTTACTTGGATGTTGTTTAATCTCTTAATTTTTCAACTTATGTCAGTATAGTAATCACTGACCTTGTAAACATATACTCTTTTTTTCTCTTTTGTGCCACGTCCTAGCTTGAACTCAGAGCCTGGGTACTGTCCCTAAGCTTTTGTGCTGAAGGCTAGTGCTCTACCATTTGAGCCACAAGCCTGCTTCCATCTTTTTGGTGGTAAGAGTCTCATGGACTTTCCTGCCCAGAGTAGCTGAGATTACAGGTCTGAGCCAAACTAAACATATATTCTTAAAGCAATTTGAGTGGTAAAACATAAACTCTTGTATTTAGTTACTTTTTTTTATTATATTAGATTATCTAGTTAGCTGTCCAAAATTGTGTTCTATATTAAATCCTGCATTCTAGTGTCTAAATCCTTCAGAGTTGATGCTCATAGCGGTTTTTTAATTGTGTCAGATGAACATGTAGCCACATTGTTTTCTCACTTTTCAGCCAAAAATGTTATTCTAATACAACAACTTTGGTGTAATCAGCAGCCACCTTAATCTGATAAGCTTAATAATTCATGTGATTTTTTTTGTAGCATAAAGTAAATTCCCAGCCAGGTGCTGGTGGCTCATGCCTATAATCCTTGCTACTCAGAAAGCTGAGATCTGAGGATCACAGTTCAAAGCCAGCCTTGTCAGGAAAGTCCATAAAACTCTTATCTCCAATAAACCACTAGAAAACTGGGAGTGACGCTGTGGCTCAAGCGATAGAGCGCTCACCTTGAGCTGAAAAGTGCAGGGACAGTGCCCAAGCCCAGAGTTCAGCCCCACAACCAACAAAAAAAAAGAAAGAAATGCCCATGTATTAAGTTTTTTAGGCTATGTGTGACCCAATCCCACTCTAGTGTTTCATTTTGTTCTGGTTTTGTCATTACTATTTTCCCCAAATGCAGTCTCTGCTGTTATTTTTCTATGATAGAGAACTGTGGCTGGCTTGGCAAAAGTGGCTCATACTCATAATCCTAAACTATTCAGGAGTCCGAGACCTGAGGATCAAGGTCCAAAGCCAGACCAGGAAAACAAATCTGAGAGACTCTTATCTCCATTTAACCAGCAGAAAGCCCAAACTGCAGACATGGGCGAAATGGTAGAACAACAGTCTGGGCCCGGGCAGGGGGAGGTGGCAGACCACGGTTATTCCCATTCTTCAGGTAGAAATCATTTGCTAGTGACAGGGAACTTATATCCATTTAGTTTTTCTTCTAATAGATAGTTGTGGAGTATCTAAATTGACCCCATAGGATCCTGAGGTTGATGAGAAGAGGAACAACTTGTGCTGTGGAATAGTAATGCAACAGAAAATCAGATACTCTCCAGTGTGTTTCATATTATGTAAATAACCACAGAGTGAGGAGTGATTTGAGAGGGAGGAAGACACTTCTGCAGGACTAGAAGTGATTGCCCAGATTCACAGATGGGAGACCTAATTGGATTCAGAGATTCTGCCTGGAAGAGAAGGAGTACTCCTTAGTCAAGACAGGACACCTCAGGAGAAGAGCACACATATGCAGAGCCCTGCAGGTTCTGACTGAGTAAGGTAGCACTTGCTGTAGATCTGAACAAGTAGCCCATCCTGTGCCTGGCTTTACTATCTTATCTGTAAAATTAGACCTTGGAGGTAGATGTACATCTATATAGTGATGAAAAAGCTTTGTAAAACATACAGATATGAAAAGGAACACAGCAGAGGGTGGTGATAGTAGCATACCTGGCCCTCTGAAGAACGAAAGGTTTTCTAGAAACCCCCACAAGACACAACCAACTGATGTTACCCCCACTGTAGTCGCAAAGGAGATTTGGAAATCAGGGGGAAAGGATCACCCTTTCCAAGTCTTGGGACCACCTCAAATAAAATCAAGACTTTGTTAAGCTAAGGAAGAAAGGGTAGAGCAGCTGCTATACAGATAACTAACAATCTTGCTAACAGGTCTCTTTCGATCTTTGTTATTTTGTTTTATAACTCAAGGCTCTGCCTAAATTAGACATCCTGATTCATGACTGAGCAAAATTTTTTAAAGAGGCACCCAGAGCTGTGGTGGTTAGGACTGCTGGAGAGCCACTCAACTATTGTGCACAGCTGCTGACCTGTTTGTTCATTTTTCCAGATGAACCTCTCCGGCCTTCCCCACCCCATAATGAGAGTGTGCCTAGTTACTGCAGAAACGAGGAAGGGGACATATTTCTGGCAGCTGAGTCCTGGAAGCCTGACGTTTGTACCAGCTGTGTGTGCATGGACAGCGTGATTAGCTGTTACTCTGAGTCGTGTCCTTCCGTGTCCTGTGAAAGACCTGTTTTGAGAAAAGGCCAGTGTTGTCCCTACTGCCTAGGTAAGAACAAGGAAAAACGTATTTCATCTCTAGCGGTGGCCATTACATTATCATTGATTTGCCTAGATCTGTTAATTTTTAAATGTTTTTTGTTTTTTTTCTGGTTGACATGTCACAGAGACTTAATGAAGGGAAAGATGAGCTGCCAAGACAGAATGTGTTAAGAATAAAGAAACGTTAGCTGGGCTCATGCCTGTGATCCTAGCTACTCAGAAGGCTGAGATCTGAGGATCATGGTTCAAAGACAGCCCAGGCAGGAAAGTCCATGAGACTCTAATCTCCAATAAACTACTAGAAAACGGAAGTGACAGTGTAGCTCAAGCAGTAGAGCGCTCTCGTTGAGCTGAAGAGCTGAAGGACAGAGCTCAGGCCCAGAGTTCAGGCCCCACAACCAACCAAAAAAAAAAAAAAAGAATCAATGTTCTCTTGGGATGGAATGGTATTATAGATTGTACTGCCATATTCCTTTGGGATCCTTTGTCAATTCAGGAATTTCAATATAGAACTCTCTTTCTCTGATAGTTTTCAATGATTGATTTTCCCATCATTTTCCACATTAGAATCCACTTAATGTATAAAACTCATTGCTGTCATGAGATCAACTAGATATGAAATATTAATCTCTCAGTTTTCCTGTCTTACAACGTTTAACTGATTCTATTTAAGCCACATGGTTGTCCATGTTGATGGCCTAGGCACACAGTGAAGCCTGAGTAAGTGACAGCGCCCTCTCCTTGTGACTCACGGTGATACAATTTGTAGGCAGAGGACATACATATATTAGCCCCTAATATCCATTCCAAACTGGTCCTGTGGACATGAGCCAGATGCTGTTCTGGGACCAGAAGGCAAGGCTGAGACAGCTGGCAACTCTAATCAAGGACAGTCCCTCCTCCCAAGGCTCTCACTCTTTATTGCTTTTGCATCCACTAAACCTAATAAAGTCAATTGAAAGACAGACCCATCTTAATCCAATAGTGAACTTGTAATCAGAGTAATAAGTGAAAAATTAAGACGGTTCGTATTAATTGCAGGTAGTGTGCTGCTTTCTAGACACAGTGTCATTGTTAATATTTGGAGCGATACCTAGACTAGAGATTGAGCCACAGGACTTTGTGGCAGTTTAAAATACATACCTATGGGGCTGGGAAGGTGGCTCAGTGGTAAGAGTGCTTGCCTTGCATGCATGAGGCTCTGGGTTCAATTCCTCAGCACCACATAAGCAGAAAAAGCTGGAAGTGGCTCTGTGGCTCAAGTAGTAGAGTGCTAGCCTTGAACTTAAGGGCTGAGGAACAGCTCCCAGGCCCAGAGTTCAGACCCCACAACCGGCAAAAAATAAGATAAAATAAAATATATACTTATTCTCAGGAATTTTGTAGTTAGGTTTCTCAGTATAATAAACAAAAGAGTATTAAAAATTACGTTTGGGAAGCTGGATTCTTTCCTTAAACAATATCCATATAATTTATTTTTTAAACTGTGATGCTTTTGAAAGTTAAATGGAGGCTATTAATAATTATGATAGCCTAGCAGCTGAAGACCAGGAGTGTCTATGAAACCAGGACATACGGTAGCTCTTAGTGACTGTGACATTGGCTCCTCTGCACTGTCCATAAGCTTAATATCTTCTAAAAGAAGCCAGAAATATATCAAGGCATACATCCAACTTAGTGCCTCTATTTTTGCAAAGGGTTGACTAATTTTTTTTAAAGCTATGTCTCTTCCTATCATGATATTTAAATGAAAGCTGGAGTTGTATCTAGTACCTTAGTTAAGCTGCTAGTTCAGGCTGGGGGCGGGGGGGATAAAGCTAGCATCACTTTATGTACATATCAGGACTGCAGTAACAAAACATGGATAAACCAATCAGGGGTGCTTAGGTCATCCCTGAGAAACCAAGGCCCAGGAAGCCTGAGAATGTAACATTACCTTCAGAGGAAAACTCTAGCAACAAATCTCAGTGTCAAAGATTCTCAGTTTCTTTTGTTGAGCTAAACTTCCTGTTATGTCTTCCTACTTAATAGGTAATTTTGAAGCTAGCAAAATTTTCAAGTAATAAATCTGTGTTAATAGTAGATCATTTCTCACAAAAAAACAATAAAGTCAAAATTATGGATAGAAATCTGAATCAAAGTATTTTATTTAACATTTGCTGTTACTTTTTCCTTCATACTTTGTTTTCCTGGATCATTTAAACTATACATTCTCCTTTAGTGAAGGAAAGAAGACCAATTTGACTCACATTTGTGACTTTTGACTTTAGATTGTAAGCACTTTCACTGAATTGTGCTTAGTGTGAGCTTATAATGGTATAGTAGAAATTTTGTGTTCCATCTCCCTCCATAACTACCCCTCCCACACTAGTGTATGTGTAATTATATGTGAAAACTCCCCTTCGGATAAACCTGTGACTTATCTTCAGGGACTATATTGTACAGATTTAATATACCCTACGAAGCAACTGTGTGTGGTATTCACTGGATCATCTTAATGGTGCGTACTGTTTGTTATATTAGTGAAATAATTATTAAGTCTCTTTTGCCTACATGATGCATATTTTGTAAATAGTGTTATTAGATGTTAGATTTCACCCCTTCTTACATGGACTCGCTATGTCCGTAAGTTTAGTCCGCAACTGTCACAATCTTATCTGACTCTTCAGTTGGTTTAGGGACCTATTCTTTGACCAGCTAATAGGTCCTGTCTTCCTTTCAGCCTGATCCCTCTTTAAGGGTGCCAAGCTTGCACAAGGCTGGCAGCCCTAAAGGCACTTAACAGCTGTGCCTCTGTGGCAGACCCTCATCCCCCTGCAGTGGTCACTTAGCAAAGGAAGAAGAGGAAACGTGTCATGTGTGGCTTGTAAAGCACCTCATTGGGTTTTTAGAGGGCCTTGAGGGCCAGTGTTTACACTGCAGGCTTTCAGTTCCAACCCAGATTGTCTTTCTCAGTTTTCAACCCAGATGAGGTGTGCCTCACTACTGACTGTACCCTAGCAGTTGCCTCACCCTAGCTGGTGGCACTGATCTAACCATGGCTGCAGGTGCTCTTCCTGGCTGAACACCTCCCTGATGACACAGCTCTAAGAACTTCATACCTGTCATGAAGCTGACTGCTCAACTGACTTCTTTTTTAGGGATCAAATATAAAAACTTTGCTTGCTTTCACCTTGTGAGGTGCGTTTTTTTTTTTACCATAGAGAGAGACAGAAACCAGTGATTCTACTAAAAGTAGTGTTCTAATTACGAGCATTTGTGTTCCTTTCGGCTGAATTATCAAGTCACTAATGTGCAGTGATAATGCTCTCCTTTGATGTGTGAAGGCCTCATATTATGTGTGCTAATTTAATAGGATGTGTAATACAGACTTAATTAATAGGATTGATGATTAATTTTGAAACGTGAACAGCTTTGTCTAATTGCTGATAATACCCATCATTAGAGAATTCATCCTTCTACTAGAAAGAAAGTAAGTAGTAATTACCCAATCATTTTCATGGAGCACCTTAATTGATTTTCTAATGTTTTGTATTTTGTCCTCTTACAAATATCCACACAAGCTTAAGCTTGTATTTTCATAGGTTTGGGGTTTTTTTTTAACTGTAAAATTATATAAGAATGAGTCAGATAGAGAAAAGGACTTCAGGCTGTTCTAATTTATGAGAGCAGATGTGATATGTGTTTCTGAATAGCAGAACTCTATGGTGACAGGCTTTACGTGAGAGTGAGATAGAGAGGGTGCAAAGAATCCCTTAGCCATATCACCAGCGCCACGCCTTCCTCAATCCTTTTCAGTTGTGTCAGTGCTTGAACGAGATCTTTATTCCATGATCACCCAAAGGATGGCCAACAAGTAAACCAGCAGCCATTCTATCACTATATCTCACTATATCTCAGGGCTGCACACTTCCCTGCCAACCCCACATGGAGGACCAAGCTACAAGCAGCATTAGCAACAGGGCTATGAGTTTTCCCACTAAACCCCCTGCATCCAGGGAGGACTCAGTCCTTCATTGTCAGCTAGTACACAAAAAGAGCAGTACTTCAATAGCAAAGCCCTTTCTTAATCTAATTTATGGAACTTTCAGGTCCACACCGCCACTACATCACACTTCTTGACTTCAGGAAGTAAAATGCTCAAATGTGCCCCTGATCAGCTGATCTCATAGACCAAGACCAACAGAGTCAACAATTCTGTGCTGCCTAACTTGAAAACGTTACTCAGTACATAGAAGATGATCTTGAAAATTATGATTAGCAAGGACTTAATTGTAACTGTGGGTTATTTTAGGAGATATTTGAAGTCAGACATTTATAGTCATATTTGTTGGCTGGAAATCCCTGAGTCAGTCTATCTTCCTTATTTAAAAAGTTTTTGCCAAGAGCTGGTGGTTCCTGCCTGGAATCCTGGTTCCTCAGGAGGCTGATGGTGGTTCAGTGTCAGCCCAAGCAAGAAAGTCTGTGAGACTCTTACCTCCAATTAACTGCCAAAAGGCCAGAAGTGGAGCTGTGGCTCAAGTGGCAGAGTGGAAAAGCTCAAGAACAGTACCTCAGTCCTGAGGTCAAGCCCCAGTGTGTGTGTGTGTGTGTGTGTGTGTGTGTGTAGAAGTGGAGCTGTGGCTCCAGTGGCAGAGTGGAAAAGCTCAAGAACAGTACCTCAGTCCCTGAGGTCAAGCCCCAGTGTGTGTGTGTGTGTGTGTGTGTGTGTGTGTGTGTGTGTGTAGAAGTGGAGCTGTGGCTCAAGTGGCAGAGTGAAAAAGCTCAAGAACAGTACCTCAGTCCTGAGGTCAAGCCCCAGTGTGTGTGTGTGTGTGTGTATACCCATACACAAAGTTTTTAAAGGTTACTTTGGGATAATAGTTGTTTATGTTTATTGCATATAATGTATGAAAAGGAAATAGGTATATATGATACCTATGTTATGACTTACATGTGAACAATCCTAAGATAGTCTGATTACATGACTTTGTTTCTAAAATGTCTTTAGCTCTCGTATATGTTTAA